AAAAGAATTAATAGTAGAAATTAGAATTTTAGTTTTGTTAGTATTTCTTACCCATGTTTTCTTTCAAATGATTTTGATCGACGAGAATTATTTGCATTATTAACACGTGAATTAATATCAGTATAATTTTCTTCAATTGTTTTTATTAACCATGAAAAGCCTACTCGAATTGAATCTTCACCTTTATCTTTATTTGGTATTGCTGTACATAATTCCTTAATAAATAAATAAAAAATTTAATTTAAAAAAAAAAAAGAAAATTTGTTTGCTAATAATGATATAATTTACAATTTTATGTTTTATTTTTAAGTTTTCAATGTCAAGTTTTTCTTTGATTTCATCTTCATCATTTAAAGCACCTCTAAGATCTTGTTTATTTGCCAAACTGATTAATAAAAATAAATAAATAAATATATAAATATATATATATATATATATGTAAATATATTAATGAAATATTATTGGTTTTGTTTAACTTACATAAGTATTGGTTTATCTCGAAGTTTATCATTGTCGAGTAATTCATCAAGTGTATTTTTATTTTCTTTTATACGTTTTTTTTCACTTGCATCAATAACAAATATTAAACCATGTATTTGACCATAATAATCAGGCCATGAGTTTTCACGAAAGTTTCTTTGACCACTTACATCAATTATTTTTATACGTTCCTGAGATTTTTCATCACGTTTTGTAGTTGTTGGATATGAAACCGTTAATGTATTTGCATTAATTGTTGGTATAACATTTTTTGTTCGAGCTATTAAAATTAAATAAATATTTACTTTTTTAAAAATGAATAACTTTTTTTATTATCTTACAGCCTTCAATCGCTTTAACAGCAGATGTTTTACCTATAAAAACAATAAAAAATTAATTATTTTAAGAGAAAAATTATATGTAATAATTAATTTTTGTTTTACCGGCATTATCAAGACCGAACACACCGATAGTAATATTCCTTAAAGGAAAAGAAAAATCAAATAATAAAAAGTTTATTAGATTGATAAATATTAATTTATTTTAAAATTGTTTTTTTTCTTTCCGGATAAAATTATTTCTAAATTCATTTTCTCCATGAACAAGTAACTTCTTATGCATGCAAATGTAATTAAATGAAATTTTCTTTTCTTTGTCAATGATTATTTTAATGAATTAAATTTGAATATAATATTATCCTGTTTGTGTAATCATAGAAGATGAAATATTTAATAGACTTACTTTATATCTTCTTTTTTTTGATTTTGTTCAGATGATCTAGAACTTCTACATGAGGCAGCACCCATCTTCTGTTTCTTAGTATTTTACTTATTTATTGCAATCAGAACGTAAAGACAAACAGTTAATACTATAACACAAAAAGGACTTAAATAAAATGAGCATATAGCATTTCTTTTTTTCTTTTCTTTTTTTTTCTTTCGTTCTTTTTTCCTATTTGCTCTTATTATTATCAAAACAAACTCCTTCGTTTCAGATGTATCTGAAATACAACCATCAAAACGAGATGTTGCATAGTAACAACTCTAAAATTTTATTATTATTAGAAGAGGTCACTAGAAGGCAATAAAACATTTTAATAATTTTGATGAATAAATATCAAATAGCTTGCAGATACATAATTGTTTTGAATTGACAGAAATTTCCTGATACAAAATTCGTATATTTATTATTTATTTGAACGCTTTTTATATGCATTTTTCTTCTGAATTCTTATGGAAGTGACAAAACAGAAAAAATTATGATTTCTTCAAGAAAACTTATTATTGTTTTTTTTTTGTCTCATAAAAACAAAGTCTCATTCACCTATACAATAACAATGATTACACACAATTGGACAGTGTTTTCATTAGAGTCTCAATATAGTTTGATAAATTTACAGTCCAATCTTCAAAAAATTTTGTTTAATGCGAATGAAATCAAAGTTTCAATAATTAATCTTTATTGAATACAATAACGAAAATGGCAATCCAGTTTTTATTTAGTCGTTGAACATATCATTTTTAATAGAGTTTGTAATATTTATCTCAAATAGTATAAATACAATATCTAAAATCTTAGTTAAATATCTGATAAATAATTGATAGGAATAGTTGATCTACAATTCGATCATTTCTTATGTCATATAATTAACAATACAACTAACAATGTGTTCTTTATCATCAACATCAAACAAAAAACCCATACATAAATCGATATTTAAATTGTATCATTTACATTGTTTACCTTAAAAGTACATTTATAATAAGATATAAATTAACTTGATTTTTATATAATTCTAATGAAATTCTTTTCTTTTTATGAAAGACAAACAAAACCAATAATATATTTATTACACCGAGTTTATAAATTCGTTTATATGAAAGAACATATTTCTTTTTTTTTATGAAGAAGACACTTTATATCGCATACGTGCTATTTGTCCATTAGCTATACCAATAAATGGTACATCTAACTCTGGTCCTGTATATTCAGCTTTACCTATTGGTCTTGAACCTTGCCATATACCTGTATATTGTGCACCATCTGGCCATGTATATGTACCTAAACCTTCGAAATAATTTGATTGAAATTCTCCATCATATGATGCACCATTTCCATAAGTTAATCGTCCTGTTCCATGCATTTTATCTCGATTCCATATACCTTCATAAATAAGTTGTTGATCAGCACTTATATGTTTACCATGACCATGACGCATGATTTGACCTTCGTCCGTAAGTATATATTCACCATCATATCGATCACCATTAGCAAACATAAATGAATTTGAACGATGTTTAGATGAATTTGTTGCAACAAATGATGATGTTTGATGTGATGTTGGTGATTTCGATGATAAACTATCCGTCATTGCTTAATAACAAGACACTCGAATGCAAATGAATTCGTCTTTTTCTTTTTCTTTGTTTCTAACTGCTTCTGTCTAAAGTTGATGTATAAAGAAAATGAAGACGGGATGAAGAAAGCAGATTGTCTTGGTTACTTTTTCTTCGTCTTCTCTCCTTCACTTCACAAACACGTTCTCGTGTGAGGAGAAAAAAGTAAAAGAACAAAAATAACAATGTAATGTTTAAAAGCCTACGGCGACCACATGACGATACTAAATGGTTCAATTTAACAAGTAAATTTATTAGGAAAAATTATAATAACAATTTTTCCTATGAATTAAGAGAGTAAAAAAGCGCCTGCTCTACTAATATCATTTATATTTAATATCATATAAAACATTTTTGTTTTAAATATTGTTTGTCTGGAAAATGTATTTATGTAAAGACTATGCAAAAGAATGTAAAATTCTTCAAACAGAATTTGATGAAAACCATAAACAAGTCGTAGTTGAGAACGTACTAAACTGCTTAGTATGTTTTAAAAAATTAATTAAGTCTTGTTTTGATTTGTATTTCAATTCAGAAAAATTATAATATATTGATTGTAAATAAAATGTAAAAGAATATCAACAAAGTGGAATAATTTCAAAAAATCAATGAAATGACTTTATTGAAATAAAGTAAAGTAAATAGGACACAGTAATTTCTTAAGTCAAAAGTTCTTTTTATGTCATCTATATTTATCAAACATTACAAGTTTTTTGTTTTTTGGTTAAGTTTTGGAATTTATGTTTTCAAATGTATCTGATTTTGTTATTTGAAGAGAAAAATTCAGATATGTTTTTAATATCAACTTGACCATCCAACAAACTTAACCTAAAAACAACTGATTGTTTCGGTAGTAAATTTCATATTAATGGAATCTTGACTTTCATCCTACAGTAGTGGCGAAACCAGGATTTTAACGGTGGAGGAGCTCAGCTGAATCAGCTGAGCTGATCGAGCTCTAAGTCGGTGGTGAGGCTCGTAAAAGTGTTTAGCTGATGCGGCTTCGCTCGGTGGTGGGACTTAGCCTCACCTGGTCATCCCCTCGTTACGCCACTATCCTACAGTATTAAGAATATAGTTTATGAATACAAAGTTTTATTTTGACAACAGATGTCACTCATTGATGATGAATTTTATTTTCAATAGGTTGCCGACAACTAATTATTCCATCGTTATCCTAACAACGGTGGACCATAATGGTAAATAGAGGAATAAACAATATACTTCTTTTCATTTAATCATTGCATCCACAAAGATCTTTCTCTTCTTTTTTCTTTCTATATCGATTTCATAGATTTTAGTTTAAAAAAGAAGAATCATTAAAAATGATGTTCGGAGGTGCTGGTAGTTCTCAACCAATAATGGTTTTAAGTAATTGAATTTTTTTTTTTGTAATCAATTGAACATCGTAATTTATTGTTTTGTTTTTTTTTCTTCAAGACGCAAATACAAAACGAGATCAAGGCAAAAAAGCTCAATTTAGCAATATATTTGCTGCTAAAGTATTAATTTTCATATGTCTTGTATTTTTTTAAATTATTTTGTTTTTATTTCAAAGACAATTGCGGATACAATTCGTACATGTCTTGGCCCACGAGCTATGCTCAAAGTATATATATATATATATACGTTCTAAAATTTTTTTTTCTACTAATCTCTATACATTTAAATAGATGGTTCTTGATCCTATGGGTGGTATTGTTTTAACAAATGATGGCAATGCTATTTTACGTGAAGTAAATGAGAATAATTTCAGTTTTTTGAAATTTCTTCATGTTTTTTTCATTTTATTTTTAGATTCAAGTTCAACATCCAGCTGGTAAATCAATGATTGAAATAAGTCGTACACAAGATGAAGAAGTTGGTGATGGTACAACAAGTGTTATTATTTTAGGTAATAAACAAAAAAAAAAAAGAATTTTAATTCTAATAAATTATTTATAATTTATAAAACAAAAAAAATCTAGCTGGTGAATTATTGGCTCAAACTGAACAGTATCTTCAGCAAGGTTTACATGCAACTGTTGTTATACGTGCATATCGTAAAGCACTTGAAGATTGTATTGAAATAATGAAAACAAAAGCTAGTATACCAGTTGATATTAAAAATCGTGATGAAATGTTACGTGTTGTTAAAAGTTGTATTGGAACAAAATATTTATCAAGATGGTTTGTTTATTAATTTTGACATATAGAAATATAAAAATGTTTTTTTTTTTTTGTTTATAATTAATAAATTATTTTAGGAGTGATTTAGCTTGTCAAATATCACTTGATGCAGTACAAACGGTTACTATTGATGAAAATGGTCGACGAGAAATTGATATAAAACGTTATGCACGTTTTGAAAAAGTTTGTTATTATATTTATAGATTTTATAATAGATAATTTTTTATTCATTTTAAATATATAGATTCCAGGTGGTTCAGTTGAAGATTCATACTTACTTAAAGGTGCGATGCTCAATAAAGATGTCGTTCATCCAAAGATGAAACGGTAAATATTAATAGATAAAAAAAATGATATCAATTTATTGTTTATTTTCTATAATGAAACTATTTAGACGTATTGAAAATCCTCGTATTGTTTTACTTGATTGTTCACTTGAATATAAAAAAGGTGAAAGTCAAACATCACTTGAATTTAGTGGTGAACCAGATTTTACGTATGTTTAATTGAATTCTAACTTTTATATATGTTTTTTTTATAAATTTTTATTTACAAAAATATATAGACGAATGTTACAATTAGAAGAAGAAAGTATTCATGGAATGTGTCAAGATATTATTGCTGTTAAACCTGATGTTGTTGTAACTGAAAAAGGAATTTCAGGTAAATAAAAATACAACGAAAAAAAAAGATTTGTTTTTTTTTTGTTTTAATATTTAGATGTTGCTGCACATTATTTAGCTGCTGCTGGTATATCAGCTGTACGTCGTACGAAAAAATCTGATAATAATCGAATTTCACGTGCAACTGGTGCAACAATTGTTAATGATACAGCTGATTTAAAAGAAGAAGATGTTGGCACTGGTTGTGGCCTTTTTGAAATACGTAAAATTGGTGATGAGTAAGAAGATCGAAAAAAAAAAGCTTTTTTTTCTTTCCAAGAAATGATTTTATTTTTTTTTTAGATATTATACATTTTTTGATCAATGTAAAAATCCTAAAGCATGTACCATTATATTACGTGGTGCAAATAAAGATGTTTTAAATGAAATTGAACGTAATTTTCAAGATGCTATGAATGTAACACGTAATGTTATGCTTGAACCACGTTTAACACCAGGTGGTGGTGCTGTTGAAATGGCACTTTCAAGGTTTTTATCTATCATAAGAATATTTATTTACAATAGTTTGTTTTGTTTTTTCATTATAGAGCACTCGATGCAATGAGTAGTAGTGAAAATACTAATGGTACAATAAATGATGAATTTTTTAAAGGTGTTGAAAAATATCCATATAAAGCTGTTAGTCGTGCATTAGAAATAATTCCACGAACATTAATACAAAATTGTGGTGGTAATGTTGTTAAACAATTAACAACACTTCGTGCTAAACATCATCAACAACCTGATCAATTTACATGGGGTATTGATGGTGAAACAGGACAATTAGTTGATATGCATAAATTTGGTATTTGGGAACCAATTACTGTTAAAATGCAAACAATTAAAACAGCAATTGAAGTACAAATTAAATTTATTTCTATTGTTTTCTTTTTTGTAACTAATAATAAATCAAATCTATTTTTTTAGACTGCTATTTTATTACTTCGTATTGATGATATTGTATCGGGTACAAAGAAAGCAAGTACATTAACTGAATCAACTGGACAAGGCGATGGCAAGAAGAAAAAAGATGAAGATGAAAATAAACCAAGCGATGAATCAAACAAAGATTAATATTAAAAATACGAACAAATGAATAAACTAAAATCTTTTGTCTCTCGTCCGTAGGCAATCTTGTGTGCGTGTGTTTGAGCTTTTTTTTTCTACTTATTACTTACTCTTGTTGTCGTTTGTTGTTACTATTGTTATTGTTGATAACACTCGTTTTTTAAAAACATTTACCAGAAGCACCAAAAAAAAACAAAAGAATTTACTGACAAGAAAAAAAATCAAAAGACAGAATGAATATCAGTTGAACTTTTTTACAAATAAAAAAAAAACAAGAAATGAAGTTTAAACGAAAAACAAATATATATATTATATGCTTTCTTGGATCAATACAATTCAATAATAAGTTCATTATAATATACGATGCTACAGAAAGTTTTTTCATACAATTTTTTCTAATAATACAGTTATTATATTTAGTAGGCAGGCCCCGTGCGAGGGTCCCAGGATTGGGGGGGGGGGGGGGTGTAAGGGAGTTTCGGAGCAGCCAATATTGAGAGACGCAAAATTTCTTTTGCATCATATCTGATAATCTTTCTGTTGCGACCAAAATATACCAATTTTTCGCGAAGCGAAAACTTTTTTCAGACTCATGAACAACTCTTCTTATCCTTATGTTGTTCGAAAGGAAAAGTGTTACAATAGCTTTTAGCAATTTTGCCACCGAAGGCGGTTACGTTAGTGACGATTATTCGAAAATGAAGCTCTTCAAAAGGAAGACAGCAGTAAACTTGCCATAAAAGCGGAAAAATCACAGATACTTTTAGGGCGAGTACGCTCACGTCATTACTTTTTCGCAAAACGAAAAGTTTTAACATCTTTTCACAACTTTCTAGCAGAAAATTCCAAAAACTTTATTAATTTTGCTGGCTAACAATGAATAATTGTCAATTATTGAGGGGGGAGGGGAGTGTACACCCCCCTATATCCACCCTTCCCTACTTTTGCGGGGCCTGTTAGTAAGTGATGATGTAAGAAGGTGATGATAAGTTTTGAAATAGATTTTGTACTCTTCCGGTATTGTTTACTAATGATTGATATATTCATTGCAGATTTTATAACAATATCAAATACAA